CGGTTTGGAACAACATGAAGGTGAGTAAATAGTGATCAGATTTTGAGATAATCAAAATGTGTCCTCTTATGGTGCATAATTCATCAGTGTAAGTTATTCTGAAAAAAATGTAAGAACTTCCTCCACCTTCTTTTCTCCAAAATATGATATTGCAATGACATTATATCCAAACATTTATTTTCCAGATGGATAAAATCAAATCTCTCCCCACATAATTTCTTACTGTATATTCTCTTTTTTACTGGAAAATGTTGCATTGACAGAATTAAATACTTTTTTTCAACAGCATTTTATGTCATTAATAATTTTGTGTTCTACATTTAATTGGAATTGAAGAGTCAAATACTTGAATTTGACCTTTTCTGTGTGTAGCCATGTCATGCTCAGACTCAATGGAGTATGCCGCTTGTCGAACCGGATGTTTGGAGCAGTGTGGACGGAGCCAGTTTAGTCCTGGTGACATGATGGGTGATGGTTTAATGAAGGGCAATGGATCAGTGTGCTTGAAAACTCCCACAGAAGGCTGTTTCTGCCCTGAAGGGTTGGTGTTAATGGGAGATAAGTGTGTAAGCAAAGAAACCTGCAGCCAGTGTGTGGACCACCATGGGAAAACTCACAAGGTATGTTGATTTTACCATTTAGTAAACATCTTGCCTTTATGATATTGCTATTGCCACCACTTTATAAAACCAATAAGCCTCTGTCAGTCTCCTGATTTTAGTGTGTGTGTGTGTGTGCACTTCAGTTTATGGAAAGCTGGAATCCTGAGGAAAACCCCTGTCTTCTGTGTGTGTGTCTGGATCAGCAGCGCATTAACTGCACAGCATTACCCTGCACCAACTCTAAAGGTAAAGACACAATGTGTATACATTGTCTCTCACTATTGCTCTCGTGCACTACACGATTAACAGCCTAATTTCTTGAAGTGGTTTCTCAATGTGTGTTGTCATGGCAACTGTTGCTGTGCTACAGCCCCAGAGTGTGGACAATGTGAGGTTCTTCGGGAGAAGACGGGATCTAAGTGCTGCCCTGAATATGAGTGTGGTGAGCTGAGAATACACATCTAACACAGAGAATCCAAAAATAATGTACATATATACTGTATATATATATATAATTTAATCAATAAGGTTGTGTAATCACTAAATTTTGTGCTTGAGTATGTATACATAACCGCGCCACACAGAGACATGCAGAATATGCAGACTTCATATTTAAACAGAAGTCTTTTTGTGCATTCATATTCAGACACTAGTCCATATTGTGATTTGATTACGTGTACAGCCCTACTTTTGATTTTTTCATCCAAAATTTGTCTTATACTGTAAAACCATTTTTATGACTGGATTCCGTGATTCGGTTTGCATTTTCTGCATCATAGTTCCCTAGATATGTTATGTTTTCACTACTCATACTCACAGATATGATGACATCTGATGCCACTACTACAATATAGTGTTGCTAATCTACTGTGTGTGTTTGTAGTGTGTGACCCGAACTGTAAGCAGTCAGATCCCCCTCACTGCGATCACGGGCTCAGTGTCGTCCTCACAAACCCTGGAGATTGTCTGCCAGTTTACCAGTGTGGTGAGAGCACACACACACACACACACACACATATTCTCATTTGTTTCACAAAGATGGTTTTCAATCACATCAATCTCTTTCACCGCCCTCTCTCAGTTTGCAAAAAGGATCAGTGTCCTGTGACAACAAAACCATCCTGCCCTGCATACAAGAAGCTGTCGGTCACACCGTCAGAGTGCTGCGATTCATATGAATGTATGTGCTACTGTCAGAACATCACTCGCACCTGCCCCCCGGGTTACATCATGAAGACAACTGCCAATGATTGCAACTGCATAGAGGTCACCTGCACGCCCAATAAGGTTGGCATGCTTTAGCGCTCTCGCTGCGCATGTGTTATTCACTTGCCCTTGCAGCTCCATGTCCTGATGAGTGTACTCTGCAATCAGCATGTAATCAACTATTTATATGTGCAGGTGTGTGTGGTGGGCACTGTGGTCTACCAGGTGGGTAGCGGGTGGGATGAGAAGTGTAAAACCTGCACCTGCACGGAGCAAGCAGACAGACAGACCGGCCTGCATATCGCTCAGTGTGTGGACCCCGTCTGCAACCAGATCTGTCCTCTGGTACGTCCTACAAAACTTAGTTTCTATCTTTCTGTTTGAAAAATATCACCGCCCTGCATCATATTTGCTGGATTAAACCCAATAGTTGTTTCTTTTTAATTTTAGGGGAACTTTTGAAAATGGACTGCTTTTGTTATTTTGATAAGTGCATTAATAATGATACATATGCTGTATATTATTTTGCTGTATATATTATTCTTATTTTGTGAAAAAAAAACTGTCATGGAATGTTTTTATTAATATTTTTTTTTAAATCAGCATCCTCAAATGAGATATTAGGTATTTTTGCAAATCTAATTTTTTTCCCAAGATGCAGGGCTGCATATACATTTGTGAAATGTTATGAATTGTATTCATTTTTATGAACACTGAATATATTATAATGATCATAAGTCACTTTAAAAGATGACATGTAGTGGCATTTACAATGCACTTAACTTCTGTATTGTGACATGCTGTATGAATATTCATATGGACTAGATTTCATCAGTTTATGATATTATTATGCATACTTTCATAAGGGATTAATTACATCCTAACCTCAGGTATTATATTGTTCTGCACTTATGAATGGACAAAAACCATTAAAAGTGGTTTCATTCAAAGTCGCAATGAAATGGAAGTAAAAACTTATCTTTTCTTCCATATTTTGTCGTACATCCAAGTCAAATGGATTATTTGAAAACCAAAAATGAAGGGTGGGCACTTCCATTGGATGTTTATTGGATTTTGAGATGTGGGTGTTGCACTCAAAAATGGGATAAATAGGTAAGAACGAGACAGGGTTTAAGCTGGCTAAATGACTGGAGAAATCCGACATGCATCACCAGAGAGAAGTCTTTTATGGGAAGATTTGAGTTATTTAGATGTGACATTAACAAAAAAGTAAAAAAAATAAGAATGTGTGAATCATTCACATTAAGACCAATAACAAGCATTTAGAAAATAGACAGGTTGAATTTTCATTTCATGCTGGCAAGGCATGGTGGGAAATTTTGTAATATAACCCCATAGATTCCCATATAGTGACCAAAATATGATAGACTCTTTTGAATTTAGTCAGTAAACCTGTCTGGCACCTTAGCAACCAAATAAACAGGCAGCTACTCGCAACAGTACTTTGTTCAGAAAATGTCCAAATCTACGTAATATAATATCCCTCAACCCTTGATCATGTTAACAAGAGGAAACAATTTAAAAGTGAAGAAAAGCTATTACATTTTGATGAAAGAAACAAATACATTTTCCCTTACAATAACAGGCAGGGATGAGTCATGCACAATAAGTCCATGGACATTTATAGCTAAATAATAAGGGCTGATTTTGATTTCACATTGATTTTGTGTATGTAGGGAACCACATACTCTCACTCAGAGGACGAGTGCTGCGGTCACTGCCGTAAATCCAGCTGCGTGGAAGGAGTACGTTTGAGACAGGCGAGTATTTAATGTATTTTTCCTCCTACTCTCTGTGTTTGAATACTGCATTTACATCTGAAAGACATTCTCTTTAACTCCACATGTGTGCAGGTGGGAGAGCAGTGGGTGTCTCATGATGATGAGTCTTCATTTCTATGGAAACAGTCTCTAAAAAGGATTGTCAGCCCTGTATGTATGAATACAGTAACGTGTGTTTTGTTTTATAGGGATATACGCTGGAGCCCATACCTAATGCTTGCTGTGGCCGTTGTGTAGCAACTGAATGTAGCATCCGACGACCTGACAGACAGCTGGTCACTCTGAAAGTAATAAATATGTGCAGACAGAGTCATGGGTCAATGTCACAATAGCCAGAATAATCAGTGTGGAAGATACAGGTTTGAATCCCCCCTCTCACCAATAACTACCTCTACGTACCAATGAACATGGTTAATGGCCAAAAGAATAAAACAGCCATATGTTCACAAAGCTTAAGATCTGCAGCTTTGCTTGGAAGAACTGTTTCAAACATTTCACATGCACCCATGAAGTATATACACTACCATTTAAAATAAATACAAACTTTTATTCATCAAGTTGAATAAGAAAATGAGATGAAAAAAGACAGTCATTAAATATGACATGATGATGAGTCTTCATTTCTATGGAAACAGTCTCTAAAAAGGATTGTCAGCCCTGTATGTATGAATACAGTAACATGTGTGTTTTGTTTTATAGGGATATACGCTGGAGCCCATACCTAATGCTTGCTGTGGCCGTTGTGTAGCAACCGAATGTAGCATCCGACGACCTGACAGACAGCTGGTCACTCTGAAAGTAATAAATATGTGCAGACAGAGTCATGGGTCAATGTCACAATAGCCAGAATAATCAGTGTGGAAGATACAGGTTTGAATCCCCCCTCTCACCAATAACTACCTCTACGTACCAATGAACATGGTTAATGGCCAAAAGAATGAAACAGCCATATGTTCACAAAGCTTAAGATCTGCAGCTTTGCTTGGAAGAACTGTTTCAAACATTTCACATGCACCCATGAAGTATATACACTACCATTTAAAATAAATACAAACTTGTATTCATCAACTCCAACCCTAATCAAACACACCTGAACAAGCTAATCAATGTCTTCAGGATTACTAAGGCTATAGGCAGGGGAGTTTTTTTTCAGGGTTGGAGCTGAACTCTGCAGGACTGCGGCTCTCTAGGACCGAACTTGCCTACCCCTGTCCTAGACCAACATTGCTATCAAACGATTACATGCCAAACTCCATTCCTAATCCTAAATCTACCAAACCCTAAACACCAATCCAGGAACATATTCTACTTCTAATAAACCACATTTATTGTGTTGCACAATAATGAAAGTGAAACAATGTATTCTTTATCCACAGGGTAAAATAAGCCAGATTGGAGACACCTGCTGTGAGATGTGTAAGAACAACCACCAAAAACATCATTCATACATGCTGCTCACTTTATAAACTCCATCCTATGGCTGCACGATTAACTGAAATAAAACTGAAATCGCAATATGGATTAGTGAGATTATCAAAGACAGCCACTTAATTAAAAATATGTGACCCTGGACCACAAAACCAGTCTTAAGTCGCTGGGGTATATTTGTAGCAATAACCAAAAATACATTGTATGGGTCCAAATCATTGATTTTTCTTTTATGCCAAAAATCATTAGGATATTAAGTAAAGATCATGTTCCATGAAGATATTTTGTAAATTTCCTACTGTAAATATATTAAAACTTAATTTTTTATTAGTAATATGCATAAGAACTAAATTTGGACAACTTTTAAAGGCGATTTTCTCAATATTTAGATTTGTTTGCACCCTCAGATTCCAGATTTTCAAATAGTTGTATCTCAGCCAAATATTGTCCTATCCTAACAAACCATACATCAATGGAAAGGGCCTTATGACTGGTTTTGTGGTCCGGGGTCACATATGCATGTGTGTTTAAGAGTGAAGCGCATCACAATGTTCATTTACACACGAGCAGCTCATCATCATGTGTTTTTCAGCTTCTCAGAGCAGCTCGGTTCGCTGTAACTCATTTCCACACAAACTCCATTTCTGCTCTGAGTATGAGTTGCCCACTTTAACTTTCCAGACTTGTAATGAAATGCTCATCAACAAAAGAAAAGCTTCAAGTTAAATACAAATCAGAGGCTCCCCACAGTTTTGTCAAAATAAAATGTTGATGGTTTAACATTTTTAAATGAAATAATTAATACAAATGTTAGTATTGTAATTTTAGTTGAAATGTAAAATAAAATCAATATTATATATTTTTTCTTAGATACTTTTTTTTTTATCTTACAGTGAAATAGTGTGTGAATAATATTTCTTATTTTGTTTAGGGATTTTTATATATTATTATTATAATTATTGTATAGTGATATATAATCACATTTTGGTCAAATTGTTCCCTAAAAATAAGCACATCAAACCTGGATTCTTTTTTTTTTTATCACAATTTTTAATCAGAAAAAAATACTGCATTTCTCCCTAAAATCATGCAGCCCTACTTCATCCGACTGATCTGAACATGATGTGTGCATATGTCTGTTTAGGTACTGAGCCAGAATGCAGAAGGACTGTGGGTTTGCTAAATTACATTAGAGTGGATGACTGCCAATCAGAAGAAAAGATAGAACTCACTTACTGCGAGGTAAGTCGATACATTTTTATATTTTATTGCAACAATACCATGAAGCTATGTACGTATTATTTATCTGTCTTTTTTCTCACCCACAGGGAAAGTGTGGCAGCAAGTCTATGTACTCTCTGGACAAGCACAAGGTCGAGAGCGAGTGTGTGTGTTGCTCGGCTACAGGCACCGTGCCCATGAATGTTCCCCTGCGCTGCGCTAACGGCACACAAACACACCACCAAGTCCTTGCCGTCACTGGCTGCGACTGCATGTCACACGCCTGTTCGACTGACTGAAAGCAGACACACCCACTTGATAAAATAACATACAAGTGAAAAACTGCTCTAATACACTTTCATATATGCATCTACAGCCAGTATGTTGCTCAGTACAGTTTGCTCAGTGGAGTAACCGCTGATAATTGAGCACTTTATCATGCATTTCTGTTTTTATTTCAACATATAAACCATTAAGACTCATCATTAATCAATAAACAATCATTCCTGATTACTGCTTTCCCATTTTGCCACTAAACAATCTGTCTATACAAATATATTCTTGATCGTGAACAACTATTATGTGTGGTTGTAGTTTATGGGTGTTTATAGACTGACCTACAATAAAGAACAAGTACTCGACTTGTACCACTCGGTGGTGCTTTGGACAATTTAACTCATTTGTGGGAGAGCGTTCGTGTGCACAGAGAATACTGATCATCAGTCAATTATGTGAAGATCATCAGTCACCCTTGTGAAGGGTGTTGAAGGGTACAATTCACACATGTGGAGGACATAAGTCACACATCAAATACTTGTTATTCACTTGTCGGCCTCATGAAATATTGAGTAATATAAAGAAAAAACATTCCATGTATGGCATTTCTGCACATTTCCACAAATCTGTGGTTTTATAGCATCTTTATATTCTACAAGGTTTAAATAATATTTATATCTATAATACATAATATATCTCAATTCCAGCTGCCAATCATCTGGAAATCATGTCGGAAAGTATGTTCATTAAACCCAGTGAGTCACTGCATTATTATGATGTGTTTTGAAGGTAATTATGAAAGTGCATGACTGCTTCATGCATTCACTGGTGGGATTTAATACACTATTAGTGATCAGATTTCTCAAATTGCTGGCTAAATGATTGCTTTAGTTTACTCATTTACTACCATTTAATGTTCTCTCTTAAATGAACTGACTGAATAAGCAATGTAAAATACACATAAGTGAGTGTGCTAAGGCTGGTAACTGTTAACACATAACTGCAGGTTCTTAAACAAAGCACATAACCCTAGGTTTATCCAAGCAGACAATAGGCTACAAATCACTTTGGACATAGAAAGCATAAGCTAAATAGAGACAATTACTGTTTAAATGTCAACAGCCTTTAGATATTTATTCCAAAGTATATCATAACTCTTTATCTTTATAGACTCAGTTCACAATTAATTCACAATTAAAATGTATAACTTAATTGAGTTATAATATTTAATAAAATTATCAAATATTATTTCATTATATAATGCAATTAGGAATAGTTCCCATTCAATGAAAGTAAAAGGTTACCAGGGCTGCCAAGCTCTAAAAGAGACAATAAAGCACCATACGTGCCACTGAAGTAGTCCATACGACTCATGCGCTATATTCCATGTCTTCCTTTACAGCATTTAAATCTTTATTGCATAGGCAAATATGGTGCATGAAGACGACTTTATGCTACGAGTCAGTTCCCACATATACCATAGTATATAGCATGCAAAAAGCAGTATATAAAATAAGTAACGTCCCACTATGCGGTATTTGAATAGTACACTAGTAGGCAAATAATACCCGGATTATGTGCTAGCTAGAATTATGAACCCACTATATCATAAAGCCATATGAGAGGAGCTGTCAGATTTTAAAAAGTCTGAGAAAATGCAGAGAACTGTGAGCCAAGTGGCTTTTTTCAAGTGCAAGTGTAGTACGAAGATGTTTTTCTTATTTACTTTATCATCAAGATTTACCATCTTGATTCAAGATTCTACTATCACAAGTGCAGTATGGAGTACCACAAGTCTCAGTACTAGGGCCGTTGCTTTTCACGCTTTACATGTTACCCTTGGGAGATATCATCAGGAAACATGTTGTTAGCTTTCACTGTTATGCTGACGATACTCTGCTCCATATTTCTTTGCAGCCCGACGAAGCATACCAATTTACAAAATTATCAGAATGCATAGTTGATAAAAAAAACCTGGATGACATTTCCTACTGCTAAATTCTGAAAAAAACAGGTGTTAATTATCGGACCAAAAACCTCTGCATGTAATAACCTAGAACACTGTCTAACACTTGATGACTGCTGTCAATTCTTAGTCATCAGTTAGGAACCTAGGTGTGCTTGATAGCAATCTTTCCTTTGAAAGCCACGTTTCTAGCATTTGTAAAACCACATTTTTCCATCATAACAATATATCTAAATTACGACCTATGCTCTCAATGTCAAATGCAGAAACGTTAATTCATGCATTCATGACCTCAAGGTTAGATTATTGTAATGCTTTATTAGGTGTTTGCTCTCCGGGCTTAATAAACAAACTCCATCTGGTCCGAAATGCAGCAGCTAGAGGTCTTACTAAAATCAGGAAGTATGACCATATTAGCCTGGTTCTGTCAACACTGCACTGGCTCCCAGTTAAACATTGTATACATTTTAAAATCTTGCTAATTACTGAAAGTGAAAAAGTGAAAGTGACGTGACATGTGGCCAAGTATGGTGACCCATACTCGGAATTAGTGCTCTGCATTTATCCCATCCAAAGTGCACACACACAGCAGTGAACACACACACACCGTGAACACACACCCGGAGCAGTGGGCAGCCATTTTTTTTGCTGCGGCGCCCGGGGAGCAGTTGGGGGTTCGGTGCCTTGCTCAAGGGCACCTCAGTCGTGGTATTAAAGGTGGGAGAGAGCGCTGTATTATAGTCCTTCACTGTCCGCTGCGATCTCAAAACTCTGGCCATTTGATAATACCTAGAATATTAAAATCAACTGCGCGTGGCAAATTCTTTTCCTATTTAGTGCCCAAACTCTGGAAAACCTACCTAACATTATTCTGGAGGCAGACACATTCTTTCAGTTTAAATCTAGATTAAAGACCCATCTCTTTAACCTGGTTTACACATAACACACTATCACATTTCTATAATTGAAATTGATAGGCTGCATTAATTAGGTCACCGGGAACACTTCCCATAACACACTTCAGCGGAGACCATGTCAACTAGATGTGCCCCAGAGACAGATTCCTCCCCTGCAAATACCTTGTCACCTAGACGGCCATTGGCACAAGGCTACGGGAACCAGACGAGTCCTCTGCACAATTCTGACTTGTGTTGCAGCCTGGAATTAAACCATGCAATGCTGGTTTCATCTGGCCAGAGGAGAACTGGCCCCCCCGACTCAACCTTGCTTCTCCCAAGGGTTTTTTCTCCATTTCTGTCACCGATGGTAGTTTTGGTTCCTTGTCACTGTTGCCTTTGGCTTGCTTAGTTGAGGATGCTTAATTTCTGGCAATATTGTCGACTTGATTGCACAGACACTATATGAACTGAACTGGATGATGACATCACTGACCAATGATGAACTGACTTGAACTGAAAAACTGAGTGTTTACTATTATCCTCTTGCATTATAGACATATTTTCTTGTTTAACACTAAAGCTCTTTTGACAATCTGTATTGTATAAAGCGCCACATAAATAAAGGTGACTTGACTTGACTATTCTTAAGACACTTGTCGCCTCCTACTGATAACCTGCAAAAGGAGTCAGTGAATGAATCAGTGAACAGATCTAAACGAATCTTTTGAAAGTGATCGAGACTCTGATTTCTAAACTATTGCTTTATTTATTATATGCTTGATCATCATAAAACATATTACATGTTATTTTTATCAGCAATGTTTTAAAATATTTAGTTCGTAATAATTAGACTTACGCATTTAGCGTCTGTTTGTGAGAGATACCTTGTGTGTGTGTGTGTGTGTGTGTGTGTGAGGGGGAGGGGGGTTGTGTCGGCTGTCACACTGTTCTCTTGGTGCACGCGCGCGGCGTCCGAATCTCACTGGAAGTTTGAGCGTCTCGAGCGCTCCACGGAATTAACGGCAGCAGCACCAGCGCGTTAAGCTGCGCGGGGCCGCGAGCGGATTGTCCACCATCTCACCGGGAACATGAACATGGCACTGAACAGGTCACCCTCTGCCACGGGTGAGTACCAGCCCTGACATTCCGGTTCATGTTGTTTGTTGATGATGTTGTTTGTGCACGCGTGCATTGGTTTCACTGAGCCAGAGGGAAAAATGCATTTGGTGTTTGTTTGTGCAATTGGCACTTCAATAAATTGGCTTGTTTGATCATCTTTTAATATTCAACTGTTGCAAATGCATGCATGTTATTTCATGTACTCATGCATTTATAGTCAATTAGTCTGATGTGGTGAAAACTGAACATTTGAGTGGCACCAAACTGGTCGTTCATGTTAATTGCAGTGAGGCACGCGCCATTATTTGCCCCTTCAGACAGACTGTCACACTTAAACACTTGTAAACGTTGTAACTAATTGTGTCAGAATCCATCCTTTTGCTTTGGAAAACAATAAGAGGGCTCAGTGTGTCGGAGGGGGGTTGTATAATTAGCTGGGGCAATAAGCTGGAGCTATTTCAAGCGCCATCTGACGCCATGTGTTGTTTTATCATAACAATCGAACACTTTATGATCTTTTTTCTTTTTGTTTTACATTGACGACAGAATGGAAACTGTGATTTGCTATGAAAACACGGGGAAATAAATGCACAAATAGACTATGGTGTGATGCATGGTTTGGTCAATTGGCGTAAATGCGCTTAGCTTTCTCCAAGAGTCATGAATCCCTGTTTGTTTACCTGAAGTCATGAGGCATATTTAAGTGACGCTTTAGTCAGGTGTGAGAATATTTAAAAAGACTAGAGGTGTACGTGTCGCTGTTTCTGTGATCAGAGTCAGTTTTTCAGGTTTTGAGCATTGACGCACAGCATTCAATTATGTCGCTGTCCTTAGTGCTGAAAGCTTTTAGTCTATACTTTTAAATGGACGCTCTCTCTCTCTTTCTCTCTCTCTCAATTCCACTTCAATTTCAGCATTTATTGGCATGATTGTTTTGCATGCAAATTGTCAAAGCACACACAAAGAAACTGACATAAGAGAAAAATGCCATAAAAGAAGACTTTCAGCAATCTATTATTAGACATCCAAATTAACTTGTGAATGTCTCTCTCTCTAATAGAAAATTGGAACGGGGCTCCCGAGCGCATGCGTGTTTCCACTGTGAAGAGTGAGTCCTCTTCAATGCAGAGCAAGAAACTCCGCTGTCTTGCCCGTGATATCTCTGAACTGGGCCAGCAAGGCACTGCCAGCAGTGGGCACGATGCCAATGACATTGCTGAGGACACGGTGCGTTGTCTAATGCAGGATTTAAGATGAAATGTTGTTTATTATCAAAGAGGTATTATTTTTATAGCATGCTATATTAAATTATTAACTAACATTATTACATTAAATAATGGTTCTGGTTAGATCATACTAAAATATTCACATTGCATATGTTATGTACATCTTCTCAATGGACCCCCTGCAGTACCTTCACGGACCCCCAGGGGTCAAGTAAGGTGACATAAGAAAATGCAATTATTTTGCAGTTGTAAGCTGATTGCACAAAGATTGTGGGTTGAAGCCAACAGCAAAAGATCTCTAGATATTGCCATTGACCATTGAAAAATGTATATCACTCCTGGACAGTTACTGTTTCAGATTCCATTCATAAGTGAAGGAAGCATTTTACCAGATCCCAACATGCTTCAGTGGAACTTGCCATGTGTTTTCAATGTATCACATTGGAGAGCATCTACTAAATGACATCAGTTTAATATTCACACCAGACTTTCTCATTTCCTAGCCTGTAGAGATCCAGGGCATTTTCTTTTATCAACGTTCATATTCCAATCTACTTGATTATTGTAAAGTTATTTATCATATAGTAAAGCTCCCACAGACACTAGTAAATATTACCACATTAAAACTGTGAAGTTTTTTCAAAACTCAAAGGTAAGAATTTTTTTAAAGACTTTTAGTTATATACATTTGTATTTTTATTATTAAAAATTGAATTGAAAAAAAAATTTCTCTTATAAAATAAATATTTATGCACATATGCAGTAAACTCATTTCTTTTTGCTTTTCAGTAACTATAATTATTTATTTATTTATTAGCTTTCTGCTTATGGGGATTGGGGTGCATGTCAATAATCTCATAATGCAAAAAAAAAAAAAAAAATCACAAAATATATTTTTGCAAAATATATGTTCACATTTTTTTCTTTTCTTTTTTGGGGTAAAATATATATAAATATATTTATCTTACATATTCTGAACATAATATTTTTGGGGATCTTTTTGTAGTGTGAAGAGAATCCACTAGTTTGCAAACCACAGAGACCCTCCTAGTTATGCACCTTGCTCAAAAGCAGAATTCTAATCAAACATGAGTATGACAGGAAACATCCAACTGCTTTGAACCACCAGCCAATCAGTGGATGACCCAGATCCTCAATTTTTTGCTGAAACTGCCAACTACATGCTATGCAGCTTTGAGAGCGCTCCAGGATCTGTAATTACAGTTTTCACTGTACAGCTATGCAGATGTGTCTAGATGTTACTGAGCTGAAGAAAGCTTGTGTGTGTTTTCAGGAGGAGCCAGGCCCTGGTCCAGGAGGAGGACTGTGTTTTGCAGACGGCCGCAGAAGAGTGGACTACGTTCTTGTTTATCACTGCAAGAGACGTCAGTCCCAACACCGCCACTCTGTTGTCTCTAACGGTAACGTGCCGTCTCAAACCCCCACCCCATCACGCAGGAGTACAAAGGGTGATATTTCGGAGGCGGTGCTGGAGGCGGGGCTTGGGATGGAACCCGCCAACGAACTACAAGATAAAATCAGGGAGGAATTTGAAAGAAGACTTCAGGAGGAAGGCTTGGAGATTGAACATGACAAAGAGGTTTGTATTTGTGTGTGCATGGTTATGTTCAGAATGCTAGAACACTAGCCCACTGCACACTACGCAGTACACACTAAATACTGCCTACTATTTTTAGTTCTTAAATAATAAATAATATGTAAGAGACAATGCACTATGCAACATTTCAAACAGTAGGATGCTAAATTGTTGTCATATGATCTCCTTATACGCATACACTGCTGTATTTTCAGCATCATTACTCCAGTCTTCAGTCTAATGATGATTTGCTGCTCAAGAAAGTGTTTTTTTTTTTTTATAAAAAATTTTTTAATTTAAAAATATATATATATAAAATTCAGGATTCTTTGATGTAGAGACAGTTCAAAAGAACAGCAATTATTTGAAATGGAAATAAATATCTTTACATAATTAAAAGTATTAATTTCTTTAAAAACCTTTGAAACATAATTTATCTAATTTCACAAGTGGTGTCCAATTATCATCTTTGGAAAATAAAAGGGGTTGTTTTACATTTATTTAAAATCCATTTTGCGTAAAATGTCTTAATTCCATTAGTCTGATCCGATAACGAAAAAGTTGTTTAAAATAGGCCAAAAATATGCATATTGCTAAATTAGTGTGAGTAGCATAGTAGTATGCTATTCTGAACATAGCCTCTGTGTGGTTCTTGTCTGCCCATGCATGTCTCTATATCATTTAATGTATCATCATCTCATGTGTCGAGCCATGAATAATAAGGGATGAGCTCAGTTTTGAGTATAATACTAACAGAATGAACACAATCAAGAGATTCCCAAGGTGACCTTGGAACTTAAGAATTGGACCCAGTTTAGAAAAAGCCCAAACCCTCCCACACTAAGAAAAGTATATCTTTTTTGAAGGGGGAGTTTTCATTTTCAAGCAATGCAGCATATTTTAATACTAGTTAACAGATGCCAAAAAGCATTTCTTTGCTTTCCTGCAATGCTGCAGTAGTTGCCCCCCAGCAATATATTTGCGACAGATGCAACTGTGTTTATCACAAGAGATGATCGGTTCCCCCTGCATCATGGTTTTTCCCAAGTTGAAGCAGGGAGAGCTTAGTATTTCTGAATAGGAGTAGATTGGTTGACTCATGCAGCTTTTTTCCACAAAAAAGCTTATACTCAGGCAATACCCTCATGAATCCAAATAGAGTCAAAGCTATTATTATGCAGGTTTGAGTACACCTTAAAATACACTACATGCTTATGCGTGAATTTTTATGAAGAATGTCTATTTATTTCAACCTAAAAGAAATTATATTTTGCATAAAGAATATAAAGCCCATTTTTAGGCCCTTTTTATGATTTTTTGTTTCTGTTTCCTTAATAATAATAATAATGAATAATGCAATAAAAATCATCTTCCTGAACAGCGCTTTTAATTAATTGGCATAAATTTAATTTCAAACAAATTCTACCATGTTGTATACTTGCAAATGATTTTGTAAGTGAAAAACATTGTTGTCGTTGTTTTTGATATTGCATAACTAGCTATAATAGTAAATTAATTCTGAGATGCAAAGACTTTGTTCCTATGTCCGAAGTCTGTATGGATCTGAAATTGGCCCCAGGGTTCATTTTAGCATAACGATTGACTGATGAGAGTGAAATCCTGAGTGAACGCTGTGACGTGGGTGTACGTTTGATTGTTGGTGGTGTGATGGTGGTAGATCAGTTGTGTTATGTTAGTGTGGATTAAATTTGAGTGCTGCTGTCTCCAGCCTAAAGGCAGATTATGGTTGATCCTCATTGCCAGAGGTGTTTGTGTTTTATGTGTTTGTGTGTGTGTGTGTCATTCATCCACGCTGAATAAGACCATTTTAGTAACAGCTGCTTCTTAAACTCTGTGCGAGTGTGTGTGCGCGTTTGCACCTCTGCTTATGTTAATCAAGGCCGCTAAATCACCTTATCTTTTCAGTTTTCAATTGCATCCTGCAAACCAAATTGACTGCATTATTCATTGGTGCTTTACTCTTTAAACTCATTTAATTTATTTTTTTTAAGATGAGGACGGTCCGGTTTACCCGTCTCCATGTTCCCTGGTCCGTTCTCAGTCGTGAGGCAGAGCTTCTTAAGATCAGAGTGCCGACTAAAAAGGTGAGTTACTATAAAAGGGAAACAGACACCTAAAAAGGCTGCCATTTGAGAATAAAATATAAAGATGTGTCAGAGCTTTGATGCAGTGTGTAATGCGTGATTTGCGAGGCTCATAAAGCTCTCAGGGACCTAAGTTTGAGTCTGGTCCGCATCATGTCCTGATTCCGTTTACCCTTGCCTCGCTTTAAGAGCCCCATAGAAACAAAATGTAAGGATACACAATTTACATTTATGGCAGAATCTTTAATAAGATGTTACAATGTTAAAGTTTTCTGGGAATCAAATGTACAACCTTGTGTTGCTAGTGTATTAAAACTAAAACACTTACATTAAAATCAACAAAAGGTGTCTACACTGTTAGTGTCAGGCCTGTGTTTCTGTGTCTTGTGTTTTGTTCCCCACATGCTCCATGTCTTGGTTTTCCCCCGTGTTCCTCTATGCCAGGGTTCCTCAATTAGTTTTCACCGATGGCCGAATTCTGCCAACAATACCAAGCCAAGGGCCACTGACCTATATACTGTATATATATATATATATATATATATATATATAATTATTATATTATTATTGTTGCTTTAGTTAAAATAGTCACAAGATGGTCACAAGATAAATATTCAGTTTTATTCAAACAATTATGAACATTTTTGCATTTAGATACAGAAGAACTTTGCCTGTATAATATTAAAAACTAATGCACAAACAAAAAATCTGGATCTCCATGTCTGCCATTTAAATCAACTGTTCCTGCTCGTCCCCGGACTGGATCTCTTCTCTCCACTTTCCCCCTGTGAGGGTGGGGGGTGGGGGTCAAACTGTAACACCGTGTGTCCCAACCAGGCGCGACGCGATAAAAAGTATCTTTTCCATGTAGTTTTTGTCCTAACCACCCGCGACAGCGACGCGAGATTCTATTTTTGAATATACTATATGTCAAATTGTGAGTAGTTGTATGTTGTGCAAGTGATGCAGGTGGGCGAGCGGACGTGACGCGGAGTGATATTTCACCTCTTTCTTGGCGAAGTAGTTCCAATGAGTAAAATTTGCGCAGAAGAGGTCAAGCGATGTATGCGAAAAACAAAATGGGTAAAATAAATAAATAAATGGGTAGCGACAAGTGGCAAAATATTTTAAAAATCATAATTTGAAGGTATAGTCCAGGGTTCCTCAATTAGTTTTCGCCGATGGCCGAATTCTGCCAACAATACCAAGCCAAGGGCCACTGACCTATATACTGTATATATATATATATATATATATATATATATAATTATTATATTATTATTGTTGCTTTAGTTAAAATAGTCACAAGATGGTCACAAGATAAATATTCAGTTTTATTCAAACAATTATGAACATTTTTGCATTTAGATACAGAAGAACTTTGCCTGTATAATATTAAAAACTAATGCACAAACAAAAAATCTGGATCTCCATGTCTGCCATTTAAATCAACTGTTCCTGCTCGTCCCCGGACTGGATCTCTTCTCTCCACTTTCCCCCTGTGAGGGTGGGGGGTGGGGGTCAAACTGTAACACCGTGTGTCCCAACCAGGCGCGACGCGATAAAAAGTATCTTTTCCATGTAGTTTTTGTCCTAACCACCCGCGACAGCGACACGAGATTCTATTTTTGAAACGGTTTTTATTTTCTGTAACGTCGCGGCAGGAATAACATACAAAATATGACAGTGATAATCTCAGGTTATAATTATGTGCTTTATTCAATGTTAAAAGTGTCTAATGGGAGTTTGAATATTATTTTGCGTGATCTTTATAGCCATAGTGAAAGCAACAATAGATATTTACCTCAGATCTTGAAAATAAATTAAAGCAAACTTGTGGTATGTTAAAACTGTGAACTCACTGTGAACCAACACATGTATTCCATAACAGAGATGGTATCAGTCAGTCACTCACTCAAAACTGTTCAGTCCATTCACATTATCATCTATTTTCCGTGTCCACTTTTCTTTTCTTCTCACTCGCCATGTTTTTGCTGTCACATCGTATCTGCACTGGACGCGACAAAGCAATGCAAATCACTTGAACGTTGTGTCAGTACGTTATAAATAGAACGAGTCAGCAGTTTACTGTCGGGGATTTGTCGTGTCGCGCCGCATCCAAGACAGCATCACTGATTATTGTGCTGATTCTATTGTCTTTTGTTGCGTCGTGCAAATAGGACCCCTTTAAGCAGCACAACTGTTTTCAGTATTGATAATAAGAAATGTTTCTTGAGCAGCAAATCAGCATATTAGAATGATTTCTGAAGGATCATGTGACACTGAAGACTGCTGAAAAATTACATTTTAAAATATATTAATATATATAGTTAATATTTATTTAAAATTGTAGTAATATTTTACAATATAACTGTATTTTTGATTAAATAAATGTAGCCTATGTGAGCATAAGAGACTTCTTTAAAAAAAAAAACTTATCTTATATCTTTTTCTATTTATATAAATTGAATTGATTGATTGAATTGATTCCTACAAATTTCTGTATTTAACTTCTGACATTTTGTCTCGCTTTCTGATGCTGTGTTTGAATTTTCATGCCACATTATTTGACATTAGCGCAGGCCAAACATTTTTCTCTCACGGGCCGGATGTGGCCTGCAGCCCACCTATTGAGGAACCCTGCTCTATGCCCATTTTTGGTCTTCCCGTTCCTGTCCTCATTATGTTCAGTTGATTCCTCCTGTGTTCCCCTTGTTATCTCTATTAGTCCCATTACTTAAGCCCTGTGTCTTTCCATGTCTAGCATCCTGTATTGTTTGTCTTTTCCCTCTGCTACGTGTGCTTTGCTTTGGTTTGGATTAATAAAGACTGTTTCAAGAATTTCCCAACGTCTCCTCGCTCCTTCGCGTCTCGCTCCGTCACAGTAGCAGCAGCAGCAGTGTGACAGTTAGCTCCCGGTAGGACGGTTCCGATTTTTGCATCGCACATCTATTCTATTCTTTATTTTCCCCATTCATTACTGGTTTTTTTTAGATATTAATTTGTATTCAGCAAGGATGCATTAAATTGACCAAAAGTGATGGTAAAGACATTCAGATGCTTCTATTTCAAATAAATTATGTTCTTTTGAACTTTCTATTCATCAAAAACTCTTGGAAAAAAAGTATCACAGTTTGCACAAAAATATTAAAGGGGTCCTATTATGCTTTTTCACTTTTTCAACTTTAGTTAGTCTGTAATGTTGCTGTTTGAGCATAAAAAAGATCTGCAAAGTTACAAAGCTCAAAGTCCACTTCAAAAGGAGATATTTTATTGAACAGAAATCACTTTTCAAAAACTACAACGAACGACTCGTTTGGACTACAACGCATATTTTCAGGGATTTGTGATATCACAAATATCGACGAATGGGACGAGACCTGGTTAATTATTAAACAGTACTACAGTTATAATTATAAAAAAATAACTTTTAGAGTTGAATATAACTAGAAAATTGTATATTTACTATGAACATAACTTCTTCATGTCTTATAATTTTAATAATTCCTATGAGCTTGGAAATCACAATTCCCTAATATCATTGCAAATATCAGCTCTCATCTTTGATTTTTTTTTAAATAAAAATAATTACTGAACAAGGATATAGACTTAACACAATCATTTCTGAAGGAATGTGCACATATTTTATTTTATTTTAATAAGTTGTATATTTTTTGTAATGTATAATAATTATTGTAATTTTAATGATTAACTCTAGTAAAAAATCTTGGAATGTCATTAGGAATTTTAGTTTATCCAGTTTCTTATTAAACTCCTATTAGGATTTTTTTTTTCAAAGAAATTATCTCTAGTATCTAAAACAAAACAAAACAAAACAAAATTAAAATGAAGTCTGTTGGAAAGTCTATAGGAGTTTTGGTTTTTCTAGTAGGACCTTTTCCCATTAGGATTATTTAGGAAAGTATGACAGATATTCCAAAATATACACATTTTAATTATTTATTTTGTTTAATAAATGTGTTTTTACTGTAAAGTTCTTTTTCAATTCAATTCACGTTTATTTGTATAGCGCTTTTGATGATACAAATCCTTGCCAAGAAAGCAGCTTCACAGAAAAGTTTCGGTAACACTTTACTTGAAGGGGTGTGCATAAGACTGACATGACACCTTCATAATCATGACATGACACATGTCATGAATATGAAGGAGGTTTTATGCATGTTTATGACAACTGTCATTAAGTGTCATTCGCTCAGTTATGTCATTTGTAATGCAAATATGACATTATTTGACCTAACCCTAACCTAACCCGACCCCTACCCTTACCCCTAACCCATAACAAAGACATCTCAAACAATGTCATCTTTGCATTAAAAATTACATAACTGAGCGAATGACACTTAATGACAGTTGTCATAAACATGCATAAAAAAACCTTCATATTCATGAAATGAGTCATGTCATGATTATGTATGTGTCATGTAATGATTATGAAGGTGTCATGTCAGTCTTATGCACACCCCTTCAAGTAAAGTGTAACCAAAGTTTCTAACTTTCTACATTATATTTAGGAGTAGCTTATCAGTGGTGACTATGTTAAGGTGATGTCCATATGGCAGAAATGTACAGTAAAAATCATGCAGTTAGTTAATGACTTGTATTCAAACAAACGGTGAACACTATTAATATAGCAAAATTAACATAGCAAACTTAAAGCAAAATTTGGTAGTTATCTCTTCTCAGGTGTTCAGTCATCTCAGATCTTTGTAAGGGCTGGATTCAGACTGAAGCTTGTGTAATTCCTAGTTAGTGGCAGAAACAGAGAAGCAAATAGAGAAATTTTAAAATTAGCATAGCTGCTGTTCAAACCCAGCAAAGAATGATAATGTGCATTTGATCAGATAAAACTGAAGTACAAGGTTATGAGATACATTACGTCAATGCTTAGCTAAAGAGATGTGTCTTTAATCTAGATTTAAACAGAGAGCGTGTGTCTGAACCCCTGTGTCTGAGTTTGGGAGCCAAATGTGAAAAAGCTCTACATCTTTTAGTGGACTTTGCTAAGGTATTACCAAAAGTCCAGAATTTCGCGACCTTAGGGAGGTGATGTATTGTACTGTAGCATAATAGAAGACTAGTTAGACACGGGTGCTATCCCAACCGTTCAGCAGAGACAAGCTACACCTGTGAGTGCCAACATTCGCAGACAGCCAGAATGTCATAAAAGAGCAGAATGTTTACAAATAGCAAGCCCACACACTGGCCTAATTAGTTTTCTTTAATTTTGCAGATTTGATATAAAGTCGAAAAACAGCTTGTTCAGCAATGCAATACGAGGTCGAATTGTAAGTATCAGTATAAACGAAACAGAATGATTATGCACATCTGGACACATTAGAACAGATTTTAAAGCAACAGTTCAGCCAGAAATAAAAATTATGTCGACAACCACCTAGCAGTGCATTACAATAGTCCAGTCTAGAGGTCATGAATGCATGAACTAGCTTTTCTGCATCAGAAACAGGTAACATGTTTCGTAGCTTGGCAATGTTTCTAAGACGGAAGAATGCTGTTATGTGAAATATGATCTTCAAAAGACAAGTTGCTGTCTAATATAACACCCACATTTTTGACTGTAAACGAAGTAACAGTCAAGTCAAGTCAACTTTATTTATATAGCGCTTTTAACAATACAGATTGTACATCCGTCAATTGTACATACAGATTGTACAACAACAGTACATCCGTCTAGATGCAAATTGTAATCTAAGTGATTAGTGTACTATTCTTTTTAGTCCAATAATTAATATCTCTGCCTTATCTGAATTTAATTGGAGGATTTATTTGCTTTAAGAAGCCTTTTTCCGGGGTTGTTTCGTGAGGTTTTGTTTTGATATTTTTTCCAAAATTTGTGAGGCACGAGTGAAAAAAAATAATTCAAAGAAAATAAATGTTTATATATTGTGTGAATTTTTATGATACAATCGATAATTTATTTCTCTTTCTCTCTCTCTTTCAGTCAAGAGATGTGTGACGAGCATCTTAATTTCACCATGTGTCCTCTATGTGATCGTGTGTGTGATTACTGGCAGCTGAGCAGTATCTGCAGTACGGCGCGTGCCAGCTATCTGTTTGATAACCATGCCACCGTGGGCTTCGCCATCTTTATGTCCCTCTGGGGTATGAACTGTATGAATATGTGCATTTGATGATAAACTATGTGTTTACTGTACATTTATATTGAGAAGAAATAAGGTGGTATAATAGATCGTTTTGTGATAATTGTGTGTGTGTGTGTTTAGCGGCAGTGTTTCTAGAGCACTGGAAAAGGAGGCAGCGATGTTTACAGCACAGCTGGGATCTGACAGGCATGGAAGACGATGAGGTGAGAAAAGTCCAAAGCATTTAATCAAAGTCACAGACCATCTCTAACATTCATTATTAAATGGCAGCAGCTCTAAAATCAAAATTTTGAAGCTGCAAAATAGGTGACATATGCACATCTGTAACTGCATCATTAAGTCTGTTAAAAATGCTGCTCACTGATAGGAATTCTGATTGAAAACAGAAGTTTGGACAGGCACATCAAAGGATGTGTCCTTTTAAAAATTAAAATGAAAATAGCCAATAGGCTTTAAGTCTAGTCAGCCATGAGCAAAGATTTGTTGCAGTTTGTAGTAAAGGAAGGGACAATCTCATTGTAGAGAATAGCTGATTGGACAAAAACTTGTTTGTCCACAATGTCTCAATAATTTGTAATGTTTTTGAAAGAACAAGAAGTTTCTTATCCTGACCTGGGCAGCATTTGTTGGTTGTGAAATATTATTACAATTTGTGTGATTATTACATTTGCACAATGTGTGTTCACTGCTGTGTGTGTGCACTTAGGATGGGTTAAATGCAGAGCACTAATTCCGAGTATGGGTAACCATACTTGGCCACATGTCATGTCACTTTATATTTTAAAATGTAATTTATTCCTGTGATGAAAAAGTGGACTTTTCAGCATCATTGCGCCAGTCTTCTGTGTCACATGATCCTTCAGAAATCATTCTAATATGCTGATTTGGTGCATGCATACTTTTTTCAGGATTCTTTGATGAATAAAAAGTTTAAAAGAACAGCATTTATTTGTAATTAATAGAACTATTTTGTAACATTTTAGATGCCTTTACTTTCACTTTTGAGTCATTTAATGCATCCTTGCTGAATAAAAGTACGATAAGTATATAGAAGACATTATCCTCGATGTTCATGTCATGTCTAGCATCACATCCTAGCAGTGGTGTAATCATTAGTATGCACATTCTATAATATAGCTGCCCCCTTAAAAACCACACCAGAATCTCATCTATGAACATCAGCGGAACTCGTAGCAACACAGTTCATAAAGCATTGCCAAACATAATAGCAATACATAATAGTCAATTCTATCTAGTGCGACTCTAAGAGACCTTCGTGCTGACTGCTGATGGCCTGCTCTTCATTAGGTTTATGAAAGTTCAAGCTTTCATTGTTCTTGAGGGTTTGAACCATTCACCTGGGAGCTGATTCAGTCTGAAGTGTGTGTGTGTGTGTGTGTGTGTGTACTGTGTAAGTGGTGGGAGAGGGTGGCGTGGATGTGTGTGTGTGAAAGGACATGTGTGAGTAATGAGACTGTTTCTGCTTAAAGCATTGAGCTGAGTGGATGAAGGACTGCGCTTTCAACAGGACTCCATGGAGATCATGAGTGACATGCTAATGTGAACGATAATGAACTTCAATTACTCTGCATATTAAATAGTGTCAATATGTGTCTAACGCCATGTTTTCTTTGCTTTCATGCTCACCGATAGGAAAGGGCTGAGGTAAACCTATCTCTTGCTCTCCTTCTCTTTCTCTGCTTCTATATTGTTCCCGACACGCTCAAATGCACACCATATTTCTCTCCGTGTCCCTCACACTTCCCCCACACTCATCAGTTCTCTATCTCCCTTTGCATTTTTCTGCTCAGCAGGAAGGTCAATTGTGTGTATGGTGCATGGTGACGCTGTTTGATGAATCAACCCTGAATTCGTAGGAAGAGGGGAGATTTACAGTGGATTAACTTTGTAGTAACATGTGTGTCAACGGATCCTTTACCCTGATTTTATACCATTAACCTCAATGCCATAATCCTGACCACAGTGTTCTTGCCAGATAATCACGACCTTATTTGTGAAGTTGAAAATGCTACCTGTCTGCTTGAAACACATTCTGTGTCATAAATATATTAGCTTAAGCATTGCATGTTGAACGTACAACTACATACCACTCTTGTCTACAGCAATGTGTTCACATATTAGCCAGAAAAGCCCCGCGCGCTACATGCTTTATAATGAACTTGCAGTTTTGTACCATATTGTCGTCTTTGCCTCAAGACAAGAAAATTATTTAATGTGGAACCTAGATAATTATTTATATTTGTGCATGTGTTTGTGAATCCTGTTTCTATGGAGACCATTTTGCTTATGCATGTCTATGGAACTGATGTTGAATTTGCTGCTTTTTGACATCTTTGGAGTCCTTGATCACTGAGCTTGATGTATATGTGTGTGTTTATATCACAGAATGAGCTACGACCAGCATATGAGGACTTTCTCCTTAAGAAACAAGAGAAGAAGGCAAAGAAGAAGAAGAAGGAAGAGGTAAACTTCATGATTATGTACAAAACTAAGGTTCTCGTATGCATTTGACCAATGAATTTCCATGATTTCCCATAACATTTTCAGTTGTTTGTGATTACTGAATAAATACAAATAATAATTTGATTGTACTCACAAAGAGTAATAATTATAATTATAAAATATTATATTTTTAATTATTAAACAGTACTACAGTTATAATTATAAAAAAATAACTTTTAGAGTTGAATATAACTAGAAAATTGTATATTTACTATGAACATAACTTCTTCATGTCTTATAATTTTAATAATTCCTATGAGCTTGGAAATCACAATTCCCTAATATCATTGCAAATATCAGCTCTCATCTTTGATTTTTTTTTTAAATAAAAAGAATTACTGAACAAGGATATAGACTTAACACAATCATTTCTGAAGGAATGTGCACATTTTATTTTATTTTAATAAGTTGTATATTTTTTGTAATGTATAATAATTATTGTAATTTTAATGATTAACTCTAGTAAAAAATCTTGGAATGTCATTAGGAATTTTAGTTTATCCAGTTTCTTATTAAACTCCTATTAGGATGTTTTTTTTCAAAGAAATTATCTCTAGTATCTAAAACAAAACAAAACAATTAAAAGGAAGTCTGTAGGAAAGTCTATAGGAGTTTTGGTTTTTCTAGTAGGACCTTTTCCCATTAGGATTATTTAGGAAAGTATGACAGATATTCCAAAATATACACATTTTAATTATTTATTTTGTTTAATAAATGTGTTTTTACTGTAAAGTTCTTTTTCAATTCACGTTTATTTGTATAGCGCTTTTGATGATACAAATCCTTGCCAAGAAAGCAGCTTCACAGAAAAGTTTC